TGGCAGTTGAAATTGAATCAAAGCACCATAGTTGTGTGGCGTGATAGGGCCATAAAACAAAAGTACTTGAAAAGGAGTCACAACACCCCACAACTCACTCTGTGAGTAAGATACTTAGCACATATGAAGCATTCTTCACATTCATTATTTATTTATTTATGATATTTCTATCCCACCTTTCTTAAGCCCGAAGGTGACTCAAGGCAGCTTACAAATTGGCAGCAATATACAATTAAAACATTTAAAGCAGCACTATAATATAAAATCAACATAATACAAAAACCATTAAAAACATATAATAACATATAATTCAGTGTATTGCTCTTTTTTAAATCAGCATTTATTAGACATAACTTTGGGAAGTTTGGGCAAATCTATTGAGAAATATTTGCATGTCAGTTACAGAACCTCAGCAGAGTAAAGAAAACTCTAGAACGTATTCACTTTAGTTCAGAAAGAACATGGAAAACAATACTTATAAGTGCATATTACAGCAGATGAGCAATCGTATTGTTGAGCTCTTCTCTATCTATGGAGAACTCACCATTGTAACCAAGCTTGCTTTTTCCACTATGTTGCACACATACTTTGATCAGCAACATCTGGGAGCTATGACAGGGAATTGGAGTCTATGACACACTTCATGAGCCATTCCATGACTGTATCTATACGATAGTCTTAATGGAGATATGCAAAGGATAGACAGGCAAACCACCATCACATACATGCTTGATGGGGACACTGGAGAGACCAGCCTCATTTGCAGCTCTTAGGCTGTGGAATATGCTTTAGTGTTTTAATTAGGCCTTTTTTAACTAGAGAGAATTTTAGCAGAATTTTCTTTCAGACATGGGTCTTGAGCTGGGAAATGCATGAATTAATACTGGTTCTCTTTTAGTTGTAATACTGGTCTTCAGTGCCTGCTCATGCCAATATGAGCACAGAGGGAAGGATGGAAACAGAGCCCATTGAGAACCAATGGAATATGTTGTCTTGGAGTTTGATGGAGTTTCCTTCCTTGGAGTCTTTTAAGATTATCTCTGTCAGGAGTGTTTTGATTGTGTTTTCCTGCGTGGCAGAACAGTACTGGACTGGATGGTCCTTGGGGTCTCTTTCAATTCTAGGATTGTATGAAGTGCTTATTCCCAGTTCAGTCTGTTTTATTTTGGCATTCAGTATGAATCTCACATTTCCCACCTGATAACTGGCAAATTTCAGAGGAAAATATCTAGAATGAAGAGATCCAGTCTTCTTAGAGTAAGCATTTTCATTAGCATCCTTTTGATTTCTTTTCTGCCCACCCCTTCCTTTGTTTTCTTAATTGATTTTGTTTCCTTACAAATGGGGCAAATTCCTGGCTCCAAATGTAATATCTGAAATCTACTTTGAAGAGGCAGCCTGTTTAAAGGGACGGAAATAAAACTACTCCACCCCCCCCCCCCCTTTTCATTTGCTGACACATTTATCTGACTTGTTTTCCCCTGCTCAGCTTTGTCCAAGTAACTGAGATTGTACTAGCCTTGCAAAGTAATTTCTTCAACTTTACACAGAGTGCCATCTAATGGCTCTCTTGTCTCAAATGAAATGAATTCCCATGCATTAAAGAAGCAGGGAAATTGTGAAATACACATTAAAATAAAATCCACTAGAAATCCTGCCAAACAATACCAGGGAGGAAGGAATATTAAAATAAACTATGATTTACATTAGGTTATGGACACCACTGGAAATATTGATTTTAACATCACACCATGAATAACATTACCAAAATTAGCATAGAATCAAAAGCAAATAGCTACACCCTAGAATTTATGGAGTATCACACCACATGAACTGCTGTGGCTCAATACTATGGAATCCTGGGAGTTGTAGTTTTACAAGATCTTTAGCCTTTTCTGCTAGAGTGCAGCTGCCTCACCAAACTATACATCCCAGGATTCCATGGCACTGAGCCATGGTAGTTAAAGTGGTGTCAAATTTCATTAATTCTATAGTGAAAAGCTATCCTTGGTTTATTTGCTGTTTTGAATCTTCACCACCACCTAGTCACTTGAATATCAGTATAATAGCTGACCACAGTGTGGGTGTGTGGTCATGCCTCCTTGATCTTCTGAAAATCAGCCAAAGCCTGGATAACCAAGGCTTTGTCTTTAAGCAGGTCCAGGTCATTTCCACCCAAGTGAACCACAAGCACATTGGGAGGAAGCCCTCTCCCCAATGCAAACAGCAACAGATGGAACATTGGCTAAAGCGTTATCTGTCCCAGCTTTAGGAAATGCACAAAACCAAATATTATGTCTCAGGCAGTACCAGGTGAGCCCCCAGAAAATTGTGCTTGTCTTGTGGGATGCCGGCAAAGGTCAATTGGCCATACCCTAGAATTGATGAGCTGATTCGAGAGTCTCAGATGTGACATTAATACCTGCCACAGCAGTTCCCCTGACTGGCTGGAGGGGATGAAATTATCAAAGACTGAGACAGTTATGATGATCTGCTGCATGGAGCCCACCTGCACCCCTGGTTGGCCCCAGGATCATGTGTGAAAGTTTTTATTATCTGCAGCAGGGGCTGAAACTTCTCTTGGTTGCTGCTCTGGCTACAGCTTCACTGTTACGTCTACCTGCTCAACATATTCCCAAAACACCTCCAACCTCTGTCCTTCCTTCACTGTACTCCACCTCTAAAGCAGAGACATGAGAAGAAAGGGTTTTGATTGGCCTTACTAACCTTGCGAGCTGGCCTAAAACCAAGGGAGGAGGCCAAGACCCCCTTCCCCTTTTCCAAGGCACCTACTTGCACAATGAGATCAGAAAGTGTCTCCATTGTGATGTCATCTTCATCCAATGAAGAAACACTGGGAGGAGGAGGGTATTTAGTTGGGGCCTTTTTTGCTGGGCCCTTGCCTTTGTGGCCAACAATATTTTTCCTAAGTGTCATACTGTTGACAATAAAAAGAGCCAGCCCTGCTCCTTCATTTGTTTAGTTTGTTCGTCATAGTACTATCATTGTTATGGATAATACTCATTAATATTCACTGCTCCTGGATATAAATATAGACCTCAAAACTAACCAATTGGAGATTATCTATGTAGTTATTAACCCTGTAAAAGTATTACCTTTGCCAATATTTTGTGTGTGTGTGTTATTATTTTTATTCATTTATTTATTTTTAAAATTTTATATTATATAGGCTTCCGTGTGTTGCCAATGAGAAGTAACCAAATGTTCCATGTGATGACAATGGCCCAAAGGGATAGGCGCCGGGGGTGGGGGGGAGGAGGAGAAGGTAGTCTAAATATTGGTCAAAATTTGTTGTTACAATTTTTGATGCACTGTTTGAGTCAACTTGTTTGACTCGATTTTGCATCCATAACGTTAAAATTAATTTCATTGGAATCAGCAGGAAAAAAAAAACTGTACAGGATCTCAGCTTACTAGCGATTCTTATAAATGAGTTTCAATTTTATTAGTCCCCAAAAATGGCATTTGCTAAATGTCATGCACTCGCAGACTGACTACTCTTCAGATAAGGGGGTCTAGATCAGCAACTATTTTAGTTAGAGACCACAAATTTTGAGAAACTTAGTTGAACACGTGACTGGCACTACAACTAAAATTTGAACAAAATTGGAGACATGATGATGAGAAGGTTTAGACCACTTGCCATGGAATGACTCAATAGACTTCTGTTTTTAAGGGCTATAAAAAGTTGATGGAGTCTGTGTAGTACAGTGCTTTGAAGACTGGGCCAGGGCTCCAAGAGACTAGGGTTTGAATGCTCACTTGGCCATAAATACCCACTTGGGCAAGTCACACACTCTGGGCCAGCTACACTGTGATACCACTTTGCAACTATGGCACAATGCTATGGGATACAGGTATTTGTAGTTTGGTCCAGCACCCTTTGGTAGACAAGGCAGTAGACCATCTAAAACTATTGATTGATTGATTGATTTCATTCATACTCTGCCTTTCTCACCCTGAAGGGGACTCAAGCAGCTTACAAACTCCATTTACAATTCCCAGGCTCATTGAACCATGGCAATTAAAGCAGTGTTGAGCTACATCAATTCTACATTGTAGATGGAATAGGGGCTTGCTCCATCCACTCCACGCATCCACTCCACGCTTCAGGTGAAGGCAATGGCAAACCCCCTCTGATTTCATTTATACTCTGCCTTTTTTACCCCGAAGGGGACTCAAGCAGCTTACAAACTCCAATTACAATTCCCAGGTTCATTGAGCTATGGCAATTAAAGCAGTGTTGAGCTACATCAATTCTACAGTGTAGATGCACCCTCCGCCTCAGGTGAAGGCAATGGCAAACCCCCTCTGAACAAATCTTTCTAAGAAAATCTCATGATAGGTTTGCAAATAGAGGAAAATGACTTGAAGGCCCACAACAACATGGGCAGCAATAAAAAATATGTCCAAAAATAAAAAGTCACATTAAAAACCAAGCTATGAGGTAGTTCCTTCCCAATTCAGGAGCTGATATATCTTTTTGGCTTAAGGAAACTTTATGTCACTTGTGCTGCTACTCGAAAGCATAGTTCTCAAAAATGTACACATTTGTTATTGATTGTGCTTTCGGCCTGGGGGGAAGCTGTTAAGTGTAATCTCTGAGAAACAGATGTAAAATGAATCCTAGTCGGTAGGATCAGATCTGGAAGTGTGCCAAAGCCTGGATTCTGTGTTCTTGCTGAAGCATCAGTCAGCTAAAATATGCAGGCCATATCTGTAGTAGGAACCAGCAAACTTTGCCAGAGGTGACCTTTCTGAAGTGATAGGAAACTTTTCAGAGCTTATTAGAGGGAACTTTGTTACTCTAGTATCCAGATGCCACATTCTTTATTTTTTAAAGCAAATAGATGTGGGAAGAAGGACTAATGGTGGCTCAACAATCCCATTCACTTCTCTACATACCTTAACTTCACCATGTGTGCATTTCCAGGTATTCGGCATATATCTCCCTATACACTGCAATTGGCATGCAAGTAGTTTATTTACTGCATTTATATCCCATCCTTCTCAGGTTGGCTCACAATTTGATGCCATACATACATAAAACAATACAACATAGTTCTGTACATACTGGATTGCACATACTCTTGCTTTACTAGAGCTTATCCAACCCCCACATATGTAGCATCAATAGGTTATCTTGTCTAAGCCTGCAGTCAGTGCTGTAGGTGATTCTGAACCATGTGCTCACATCAACAATAGTACATGCAGATGAGAGGAAAATCTTATTTGGCTGCATCATTGCCTCACATTCACTGTGTACACTGTTGACACTTCTGAACATCCTTCTGAAGTGACAGATTGATAGAGAAATTGACAAGGGATCTGTGTAGGGAATGGTTTTTTAGGGAATGATGTGCAGTGAATGGTGTGACTGGAATCGTGTATAATACATTTATCTATTTTCTTTGTTATACTGTACACAATACCTCAAAACTATATTTACCATTTCAACTCTATATACTGTTGAAACCGTAAAGATGATTTTTGGACACCCTGTGTTATATCTTCATCGTAAAACATTCTAATTAAACCCTATAGTTTTCATTTCCTAAGAAATCCACAGATATTATCTGGGAGACTTTAGTTCTAAAATTCCAAATGTAGCAATGAAGATGCAGGGCTAACATAGTTGCATTCATAGATGAGACGGGATTTGAATGAAGGATTTTCTGGCCTTAAGTTTTAGATTTTTGTTCTTTTCTTTTTTCTTTGTTCTTCTGTCTCATTTAGTGTTCTCTGAAGTTCTTCTGGTTGACAAGGCATGATTCCTGTTGCTATATGAACCTTCATCAAATAATGGCTTTTCTGTTGCTTTAGAATATGAGAACATTTCTTTCCAGATGTACCATTCCATTAATCTGCTTTCTCCTGTTGTCCATTTTTTTCTGTTGTTATCTCTTCCGATCAATTGGCTATTTCAGTAGAATAGATCCAACAAAGCATTTCTTGTTTTCCCCTCCTCCCCTTCCTAGGAATCAAGGTAACCTATAAAATTGAAAGAAAAACATTGTTAGAGGCACTTACAAAAGACATTAGTATGAACATATACAATGATTGTTGATGTACAATTAAACTATAAATATAATTAAAAGCATTTAAAGTAAATCCATTAAAATAAAAATAAAAATGACATATATCAGCATATTGTTAAAAGGCCTTGAAATCAATAACTGAAAACTTCTTGGAAGTAAACATTTTCATATGCCAATGGAAGGAGAGCAAGGCAGGATCCTCCCAAGCTTCCAAAGCCTAGGAGACTGCCAGGAAGGTCTCTTAATATGTCCCAATCCTACATGCCTGGGAAGGTGGTGGAGAGTGGTTTCTTCTGAAGCAAATGCAAGCAAATATTAAAAGACATGAACCTTGATACCTCTGGGACCGGAGGCGTTTCTGAGATACAGGGAGAGTTTTCTCAACAGCTCTCTTTTGACAAGTTGAGGCCATGCCTTGCTATAAAGAAGAATTTTCCATTCCCTTTATCAACTTATCCAGTCCTCCTTTGATCTCTTTAAAGAGTCAGGAGGGCCAGACAATAAAACTCATAAGGTGGTACTCAAGAGAATTCTGTCTATGTCCTTATAGTGTGTACAATATATTATTTATTTATTTATTTATTTATTTACAGCATTTCTACCCCTCTCTTCTCACCCCCACAGGAGGACTCAGAGCGACTAACAATGGTAACAATTGGGTGCCATAACAATTACAATTATAAAAGCAAAATAAAATCATACAATATAATACATTAAAACAACATTAGTTATCCAATCATAAAGGCATTTCCATTATAACAACCATCTGGTCCAATTCACTGTTCAGGTGCCGTTATATCCATTAGCCAAAAGCCTGGTTCCACAACCACATCTTCAGTTTTCTTCTGAAAGAAAGGAGGGAGGACACCGATCTAATTTTGCTGGGGAGCGAATTCCACAGGTGGGGGGGGGGGTCACCACCGAGAAGGCCCTGTCCTTTGTCCCCACCAGCCACATTTGCAAAGCTGGTGGGACAGAGAACAGGGCCTTCCCGGCAGATATTAGACTACAAGGTGGAACTTAGAGGGAGATACGCCAAAGATGACAACCCAGCTACCTTGAGGGAGATATGCCAAGTAAGCTAGGCCAGAGTCGTATAGGGCTTTATAGGCCAAGACCAGCACTTTGAATTGTACTCGGAAATGGACCGGCAACCAGTGCAGTTGACATAACAGGGGGGTGGTATGATCCCTGTACGATGCTCCAGTGAGCAATCTGGCTGCTGCTCGTTGGACTAGTTGAAGTTTCCAAACAGTTTTCAAAGGCAACCCACATAGAGTTTTGCAGTAATCTATTTGGGATGTAAACAGAGCATGGACCACCAAGGCCAGATCAGACTTCCCAAGGTACGGGCACAGCTGGTGCACAAGTTTTAACTGTGCAAAGGCTCTCCCGGCCACCGCTGATACCTGGGGTTCCATAAATAATAATAATAATAATAATAATAATAATAATAATAATAATAATAATAAGGATTAAGATGGGAAACAGTGATTTAAAATATAGTGACAAACAGGCACATAACATGGATAAAGATACAAACAGCAATTAAAAATACATAATCAGCTAAATGGGCATAGCACTAGTTTAAAGTGCATACTTATTTAAAACAATCAATTTATAATTTAAAAACTCATAAGTTAAAAAACCATCTGGATAGGCTTGTCAAAAGAGATTGGTGTTTAATACTATTTTAAATGCAGACAGCATATCCAGCAGGGCCAGAGTTACATTCACTAACCCTACTGTTATATTCAAGTTGGGAAAAAATCCAAGCAATATTATTTGGAAAATTCTAAACAAATTTTTCATTGACTAGGTTTTCTCTTGAGGCATGGTATAGTCCAGGGGTCCCCAAACTACGGCCCGCGGGCCGCATGCGGCCCGCCAAGGGCCTTTATCCGGCCCGCGCGGCCTGTCCTGGCCTATCCAAAGCCCCTCGCCGCGCGGCCTGTCCAAAGCCCCTCGCCGCCGCCGCCAATGGCGTCTGCTCTGCTGCGCTTCTCCCTCCACAGGCTTCTCCCTCCACACAGGATGGAGAAGCCTGTGGAGGGAAAAGCGCTCTCTGCTCTCCCGCGGAGAACAGAGAGAGAAGCAGAGCGGACGCCATTCCTCTGTAACAGAAAATCCCTGGTGGCGAGGAAGGCGTCCGAAAATGGTGGAGGCAGAGCCGGGTGGGCGTGGCCAGGCTTCTGGGCCAGGGAAGCCAGCATCGCTTGGCCACGCCCACCCGGCCGCCTCCACCATTCGCGCCACCAGGGATTTTCTGTTACAGAGGAATGGCATCCGCTCTGCTGCGCTTCTCCCTCCACAGGCTTCTCCATCCCGTGTGGAAGGAGAAGCCTGTGGAGGGAGAAGCGCAGCAGAGCGGACGCCATTCCTCTGTAACAGACGATCCCTGGTGGCAAGGAAGGCGTCCGCAAATGGTGGAGGCGGCGCCGGGTGGGCGTGGCCACATCGCTTGGCCACGCCCACCCGGCGCCGCCTCCACCATTTGCGGACGCCTTCCTTGCCACCAGGGATCGTCTCTTACAGAGGAATGGCGTCCGCTCTGCTGCGCTCTCTGTTCTCCGCGGGAGAGCAGAGAGCGCTTCTCCCTCCACAGGCTTCTCCATCCCGCGCTGCTCTGGAAAGGTTTGGCCCAATTCTATTGTTGATGAGGTTCAGAATGCTCTGTGATTGTAGGTGAACTACAAATCCCAGCAACTACAACTCGCAAATGTCAAGATTCTATTTCCCCCATACTCCACAAGTGTTCCCATTTGGGCATATAGAATATCAGTGCCAAGTTTGGTCCAGATCTATCATTGAGTCCACAGTGATTGATGGAGGCAGGTGAACTACAACTCCAAAACCAAAGGACACTGCCCACCAAACCCTTCCAGTATTTTCTGTTGGTCATGGGAGAACTGTGTGCCAAGTTTGGTTCAATTCCATCTTTGTGGGGTTCAGAATGCTCTTTGATGTAGGTGAACTATAAATCCCAGCAACTACAACTCCCAAATGTTCTATTTTCCCCCAAACTCCACCAGTGTTCACATTTGGGCATATTGAGTATTTGTGCCAATTTGGATCCCGATCCATCATTGTTTGTGTCCACAAAGATCTCTGAATGTAGGTGAACTACAACTCCAGAACCAAAGAACACTGCTCACCAAACCCTTCCACTATTTTCAGTTGGTCGTGGGAGAAATGTGTGCCAAGTTTGGTTCAATTCCATCGTTGGTGGGGTTCAGAATACTCTTTGATTGTAGGTGAACTATAAATCCCAGCAACTACAACTCCCAAATGACAAAATCATTTTTTGTGTGAAGGACATACATTGGGTTATTAGGTGTCTTGTGTCTAAAATTGGTGTCAATTCGTCCAGTGGTTTTTGAGTTCTGTTAATCCCAACAAACGAACATTACATTTTTATTTATATAGAAGTGTGGGTCTTTGTTTTTTGATGGGGGGGGGGGGGGGGTTGCACTGCAAATAATATATGTGCAGAGTGCATAGGAATTCATTCATTTTTTTTTCAAATTATAATCCGGCCCCCCAACAGTTTGCGGGACTGCGACCCAGCCCTCTGTTCAAAAAGTTTGGGGACCCCTGGTATAGTCAATACAACTCCAAGTCATCATTTTTTGAAGATGTAGGAAACAGCATCATTCATGTATCCAAAAAATCATTAGTTCTTTCTAGACAATTATGATACTATAATTCAAGTCTAAAGTCTACTGCCTGTGCTACCTCAGATTTGCAGTTTGGAGGGGTTTTTTTTCATGTCAGGAGTGACTTGAGAAACTGCAAGTTGCTTCTGGTGTAAGACAATTGGCTGTCTGCAAGAATGTTGCCAAGGGGATGCTCTGATGTTTGGATGTTTTACCATCCTCATGGGAGGTTTCTCTGGAGCTGAGAGAGGGAGCTCATCCACGCTCTACATGGATTTGAACCTCCAACCTGTCGGTCTTCAGTCTTGCTAGCAAAAGGGTTTAACACATTGTGTCACCAGGGACGTACTTGAGTTCTTTGGGTGAAAGTTCTAAATAGACCTCTTTAAACTGCAAATCCGAGGATTCTATAGGATATTTTGAGGTTAGTTAAAGAGGAATCAGAATGTTATAACTTTGAATGTGATATGCCCCCTAATGATCATTTTCAGTTTGTTTTGGTTTTTTTTTTTAAAAAAATACTGTCTTGGTCCCTAAATAGATATGGGCTATAAAAATGTTTTAAAATTAAGAGTCAGATTCCTGGAAGATTCTTGAGAGTACTATTACATCAAAAGGATATTTTATAAAATGGGGTGCAAGTGTGTATGCATTTGGGGGGGGGGGACTTCAGGAATATAGGGTCCTGGGCATCTCGACATCTTAATGTGTATCATTACTGGGAGAACAAACAATTCTAACTCCCAGGAAATGCAACTGAAAATTATTTAGGAGCAAACACCATTGAATTAATAAGCAGTATTAATGAGATGTTTGGCTTTAATATTAAATTTCAAGTATGAAAGGATGGACCTCATATGCAGACATGCAGAGATCCAAATGTAATCACAAGCAGATTTCTTCTCTCTCACATCACCCAGTTGTTAATTCAAGCTCTGTTTAATATTATAAAGATCTAAAGAAAGGAATGGTTGCAAAGAGTTCTAATTGCTTTCCAATTCTGCTTTCCTTTAGCCACTTGTGTGTCCGTAGCTCCATTTTTAAGAGCCTGATGAGCTGCTTCAGGCTTTTAAAATGTGCATGTGTACTTTAAGGGCTTCTTTTGGCGTTTAGGGGGAGGGGTGGGTGCCCTCTTGGTTTTTCAGGCTCGTGGAGCTTGGAAAGCTGAGATGGCTGTCTGGATTGGACACGAAGATCGTGTGCCTCAATCCACACAGGGCCCACACCTAGTAAAACCAAATTAATTAAACACCAGCCAAGACCAGCATCTTAGGTAAGATCTGGGTCTTACCGGGTG